GCATTACAAGCTTTGGGTCTTGGGTTCAAATCCCCATTGTAGCAAATAAAATAATAATAATAAATAAAAACTAAATCTTTTAGTTGGGCCTCCTAGCTCTCCAAACATTCTATGCATGTGATAGGTCTAGACTCCTCCATGTTTGGATCTTTTAATAGTTGGACCTTTAGCAAATTGGTCACTTTGTATTGCAATGCCTCTTGTGTTTTTCTGAGCCTGCCTCTTGTCATAGGTCCACCTAAGTCTTGGATTGGATCTTGATCTTGATCCTTCTCATTATCGGCTTGGGCCTTTATGTCCACATCACCTTCCTTAACTTCCTCTTCCTCCTTGATTTCTTCTCAATACTTAAATTCTTATCAATTCCAAACTTCCTCTCCATCCCAAACTTCTTCTCCATCCTTAACTTCTTCTTCTTCTTTAACTTCCTCTCTTTCCCTAACTTATTCTCCTTCCTTAACTTCTTCTCCATCCAAACCAACTTCTCCTTCCATAACATCTTCTCCGTCCATGACTTCTTCTCCTTCTTTGACTTCTTCTCCATCCATAATAATAATCTCTCCCTCCTTAACTTCTTTCCAATCCATAATTTCTTCTCTATCCTTGACTTCTTCTCCATCAAAACTTCTTCCTCTTCCCTAACTTCTTCTCCTTCCTTCACTTCTTCCCCATCCTTAACTTCTTCTCCTTCCGTAACTTCTTCTCCTTCCTTAACTTCATCTACATCCCAAATTTCTTCTACATCCTTAACTTATACTCCATCCATAACTTCTTCTCCTTCCTTAACTTCTTCTTCTTCCTTGATTTTTTTTCGATAATTAAACTCTTCTCCATTCCAAACTTCTTCTCCATCCCAAATTTCTTCTCCATCCTTAACTTCTTCTCCTTCTTTAACTTCCTCTCTTTCCCAAACTTCTTCTTCTTCCTTAACTTCTTCTCCACCCAAACCATCTTCTCCTTCCATAACATCTTGTCCATCCATGACTTCTTCTCCTTCCTTGACTTCTTCTCCATCTATAATAATCATCTCTCCCTCCTTAACTTCTTCCCCATCCATAATTTCTTCTTCATCCTTGACTTCTTCTCCATCCAAAACTTATTCTTCTTCCCTAACTTCTTCTCCTTCCTTCACTTCTTCACATCCCAAACTAATTCCCCATCCTTAACTTCTTCTCCTTCCCTAACTTATTCTCCATCCTTAACTTCTTCTTCTCCTTCCTTAACTTCTGCATCAACATCCCAAATTTCTTCTCCATCCTTAACTTGTACTCCATCCATAACTTCTTCTCCTTCCTTAACTTCTTCTTCCTCCTTGATTTCTTCTCCATACTTAAATTATTCTCCATTCCAAACTTCTTCTCCATCCTTAACTTCTTCACCTTCTTTAACTTCCTCTCTTTCACTAACTTCTTCTCCTTCCTTGACTTCTTCTCCATCCAAAACTTCTTCTTCTTCCCTAATTCTTCTCCTTCTCTAACTTCTTCTCCATCCTTAACTTCTTCTTCTTCTTCCCTAATTCTTCTCCTTCTCTAACTTCTTCTCCATCCTTAAATTCTTCTTCTCCTTCCTTAACTTCATTCTACATCCCAAGTTTCTTCTCCATCCTTAACTATAATCTCCTAACCTATCCATCCAAAAGTTCTTCTCCTTCCTTAACTTCTTCTTCCTTAATTTCTTCTCCCTACTTAGTAGATTCTTCTCCATTCCAAACATCTTCTCCATCCCGAACTTCTTCCCCATTCATACGTTCTTCTTTATCCCTAACTTCTTCTCCATCCAAAACTTCTTCTTCCTTAACTTCTTCTCCTTCCTAAACTTCTTCTTCCTTATTTTCTTCTCCATACTTCGATTCTTCTCCTCCATTCCAAACTTCTCCTCCATCCCAAACTTCTTCTCCATCCTTAACATCTTCTCCATCCCAAACTTCTTCTCTTTCCCTAACTTCTTCTCCTTCCTTAATTTCTTCTCCTTCCTTAACTTCTTCTCCGTCCATACTTTCTTCCTCATCCCTAATTTCTTCTCCTTCATTGACTTCTTCTCCATCCATAATCATTTCTCCCTCCTTAACTTCTTCTCCATCCCAAACTTCTTCCTCATCCATACTTTCTTTTGTACCCTTAACATCTTCTCCATCCATAACTTCTTCTTCTTCTTTAACTTCTTCTTCCTCCTTGATTTCTTCTCCATACTTAAACTCTTCTCCATTCCAAACTTCTTCTCCAACCCAAACTTCTTCTCCGTCCTTAACTTCTTCTCCTTCTTTAACTTCTTCTCTTTCCCTAACTTCTTCTCCTTCCTTAACTTCTTCTCCACCCAAACCATCTTCTCCTTCCATAACATCTTGTCCATCCATGACTTCTTCTCCTTCCTTGACTTCTTCTTCATCCATAACAATCATCTCTCCCTCCTTAACTTCTTCCCCATCCATAATTTCTTCTTCATCCTTGACTTCTTCTCCATCCAAAACTTCTTCTTCTTCCCTAACTTCTTCTCCATCCTTCACTTCTTCCCCATCCCAAACTAATTCCCCATCCTTAATTTCTTCTCCTTCCCTAACTTCTTCTCCGTCCTTAACTTCTTCTTCTTCTTCCTTAACTTCTTCATCTAAATCCCAAATTTCTTCTCCATTCTTAACTTATACTCCATCCATAACTTCTTCTCCTTCCTTAACTTCTTCTTCCTCCTTGATTTCTTCTCCATACTTAAATTCTTCTCCATTCCAAACTTCTTCTCCACCTTAACTTCTTCACCTTCTTTAACTTCCTCTCTTTTACTAACTTCTTCTCCTTCCTTAACTTCTTCTGTATCCAAACCATCTTCTCCTTCCCTAACATCTTCTCCATTCGTGACTTCTTCTCCTTCCTTGATTTCTTCTCCATCCATAATAATCATCTCTCCCTCCTTAACTTCTTCCACATCCATAATTTCTTCTTTATTCTTGACTTTTTCTCCATCCAAAGCTTCTTCTTCTTCCTTAACTTCTTCTCCTTCCTTCACTTCTTCCCCATACCAAACTATTTCCCAATCCTTATCTTCTTCTCCTTCCCTAACTTTTTCTCCATCCTTAACTTCTTCTTCTTCTCCTTCCTTAACTTCATATACATCCCAAATTTCTTCTCCATCCTTAACTTATACTCCATCCATAACTTCTTCTCCTTCCTTAACTTCTTCTTCCTCCTTGATTTCTTCTCCATACTTAAATTCTTCTCCATTCCAAACTTCTTCTCCATCCTTAACTTCTTCACCTTCTTTAACTTCCTCTCTTTCCCTAACTTCTTCTCCTTCCTTAACTTCTTCTGCATCCAAACCATCTTCTCCTTCCCTAACATCTTCTCCGTTCGTGACTTCTTCTCCTTCCTTGATTTCTTCTCCATCCATAATAATCATCTCTCCCTCCTTAACTTCTTCCACATCCATAACTTCTTCTTTATTCTTGACTTTTTCTCCATCCAAAGCTTCTTCTTCTTCCTTAACTTCTTCTCCTTCCTTCACTTCTTCCCCATCCCAAACTATTTCCCAATCCTTATCTTCTTCTCCTTCCCTAACTTTTTCTCCATCCTTAACTTCTTCTTCTTCTCCTTCCTTAACTTCATATACATCCCAAATTTCTTCTCCATCCGTAACTTATACTCCATCCATAACTTCTTCTCCTTCCTTAACTTCTTCTTCCTCCTTGATTTCTTCTCCATACTTTGTTAGAAAAGTAGTTTTTGATCAAGAGGGGGGGTGAATTGATCTTTGAAAGTTTTTCACAAATAACAGATTATCTAATTCGAAAATTTAGTTTACAAATCTATTCTTGAATCACAAAGCAATCAATCAAAATAAGCGCAACAACTGAATTTAAATGAGAGAAAGGTTAAGAAAGATATCACCGGTATTTTATACTGGTTCACCCAATACCAGGGCTACGTCCAGTCTCCAGCCAAATTCCAGTTGGGTTCCACTAGATTAAATGTTTTACAGATATACAATCTTACACTTAATCTACCACAAGAACCAAATTCTAGTTCCTGCACTCAACCTTTCCACCAAGAACCAAATTCCAGTTCTTGATAACCTCTACAACCCAATTCCAGCTGCAGAGAAACCTGTGCCCAAATTCCAGGCACCACACAATACAAAAGAATGAAAAAGAATTGAAAAAGAAGAAACTAGAAAGCTCAAACCAGTTTATCCAATTCTGCAGTGAGTTTCTTCTTCAAAAGATTGCAAGTTGCCTCAAGAAAGATTTTCAAAAGAACTTCTAAAAACTGTCACGAATCTTTCTTGAAAAGAGTGCTAAAGTTTGCTTGAATGATTGCTTAAGGATGTGTAAAAATTGATATGTAAAAAGTTCCAAGCAACTTTGTTTTTAAAGAAGATTTTCAAAACTGCTGCATTAATTAATCTGTTAAAATATCCGTTTAATCTGTTAAAAGAGTCGTTTCAATCTGTTGAAAGTTCTTTTAATCCATTAATACGTTCTTGATTCTTTAACAGATTTGTTTTAACTGATACAACAACGTTTATATTAGTTAAAACATTTTACAAAAATTTTCTAAGTTTGATTCAATCGATTGTTTTGTGTTTTAATTGATTGATATACTGCAAAACTTTCTTGTAAAACTTTTCAAGTTATTTTAACTGATAAGAAATAGTTTTTAATCGATTAAAACTCTGTACAAAATTTTTCCAAGTTGTTTTAATCGGTTGAAATGCGTTTTAATCGATTGAAACAGATCTAATCGGTCATAATTCAATTCTGATCGATCATAACTGATTCTGATCGGTCATAATTGCATTCTGATCGATCATTCTGACCCTTTAAGTGATTTTAATCGATTTAAACGTGTTTTAATAGTTTGAAAAAATTTGATCGCTCATAATTCAAATCTGATCGATCAAATCTGATTCTGACCGGTCATATTTGTATTCTGATCGATCATAATGAGTTCTAAATGGTTTTAATCGATTAAAAGCAAGTTGTATCGATTAAAATACTGTAAAAACACTTCTTTGAACATTCTAAGCAATTTTAATCGGTTATTTCAAAGTTGTATCAGTTAAAAACATGTTTAAGAAAGCTTTTGTCAAAATACTTTATCTTTAATTATTTAAAACGATTTTAGAGGCATTTTGCAAAATCTTTTGAGTGAAGAGAAACCTCATGCAGCAGAAAAGATAAAATGATTTTACCTAAGCATTCTTGTAGACACACTAATCCTTCTACTCGTTTATCTAAGTGACTTGTTGACTGCTGTAAAGTTGACTTTTGACTTCATCAAATCAATGAGATCTTTGCCAATGTATTTCACTAAGATCTTCATCACTTTCAATCTCCCCCTATTTGATGAAGACAAACACCATTTTGAAAAAAACTCTGCAAAAGAAGTCACTTGATAATATAGATTAGTGAGAAGTGAAAAATGTATTATTTTCCTATTTCTCCCCCTAAAATGTTGCTCCCCCTAATTTAAGAGTTATTTCTCTAAATTGACTTCTAAATTGACTAAAAGTAAAAGCAACTATTTCTCCCCCTTTTGACTTCATCAAAAAGAGGGAACAGAAGAGAAACAAAGAAATGCAAAGATATTTAACATGCTTAAGATTTTGAAAAAAATTAAAATACGATTCTTTACTCATGTAAAGATCAATCAAAGTTGATTCAAACTTATCTTCATTAACACGTTTGTAATGAATACAATTAATACGTGTAAAGATAAGGGAATCACGCTTTAGTAACATGTTACAAGAACAATCATTAACTAAAGCCTTTAATTTTTCTTTCCAGAATAAAAATTGATTAAAAACAGTAAAGAAAGATGTTGTGTAAATTCTTTTAATCGATTTAAAATATTTTTTATTGAATAAAACAACTAGACTTGCAACCTAAGTGATGTTTGATGCATCTAAAATGCCTAATTCAGTGCGAATTTTGAAAAATCGATCACGAGCAAGGGGTTTTGTAAAAATATCTGCTAGTTATTTTTCAGTTTCTATAAAGAAGATTTCGCAATCACCTTTTAAAATATGATCTCTAATGAAATGATGTCTAATTTCTATATGCTTTGTCCTAGAATGTTGGATTGGATTTTTAGTTAGCATAATGGCACTAGTATTATCACACAAGAGAAGAATTTTTCTGAGAATTAAACCATAATCCTCAAGCTGCTGTTTGATCCAAAGGGATTGAGCACAACAACTCCCAGCTGCAATGTATTCTGCTTCAGCTGTAGAAAGAGCAACACAAGAGTGCTTTTTACTATGCCAAGAGATTAGACTGCTTCCAAGGAGATGACAGGTGCCACTGGTGCTTTTCCTATCAAGCTTACAACCTGCAAAATCTAAGTCAGAGTATCCCACTAAATTCAGTTTTGACTCACTTGGATACCATAACCCAACATTTAAAGTCCCCTTGAGATATTTGAGGATTCTTTTTGCCGCAGTAAGATGAGACTCTTTTGGTGCAGATTGGAACCTGGCACACATACAGACACTGAACATGATGTCAGGTCTACTTGCTGTTAAATATAGCAAAGAACCAATAAGCCCTCTATATTTGGTTTCATCAACAGATTTTCCTTTTTTATCAGAATCAAGGTAGCAGTTTGTGGACATAGGTGTTGATGCCTCCTTGCAGTGTTCCATCTCAAATCTCTTCAAGAGTTCTGTGCAGTATTTGGATTGATGAAGAAAACTTCCTTCTTGAAGTTGTTTGACTTGTAATCCAAGAAAGTAGTTAAGTTCCCCCATCATAGAGTATGGCATGGTTACTCCCCCTTGGAGTAAGAATCCACGCAATAATGAAGGCAAGAACTCTTGATTCAAGCCTCATCTTTCCAGCATTGAAAATCCTAGCTGACTCATTTTGATCTTTTAGACAAGTGCGAAAAAACTGATTTTTGTTAAATTCTGGTATTTCAGCAATATTTCCTCTAGAGATTTTCACCCCAACATCTTTGAGGCCAGCGACTTCCTCCCAAATGTCAAGAGTAATGACTAGATTGACTCCTTTAACTTGAGATCGTAAAGTAGACCCACTGACAGTAAGATTACCATAGAAGACTCTTACCAAATCTGGTTGAATATTGCCAGTGAACTCCAGGAAATTTTTCAGTTTTTGACGCTTTAGTTTCCTTCTTAACGAGGTAAATCCTTCTTCATCCAGCCACGAAAATCTTATGAACTTAGGAATAACAAGCTGTTTTTGACTGAAATTGGTGATGAAGCTGTTCATCTTATCTCTGTCACCACTAAACCAGTTTTCCAGGTGGCCTCCCTGATTTCCAGCCGAGGAAGATTCACCTTTCTGCCTCTTTCTAGATTTAGATCTTCTCAACATTTTGTTTGAATCTTTAGAGAAGAAATTCAGAGACGTGTGGACACGGGTAAGAAGGAAGAAGAACAATGAACCAGATACAACTTTTGAACTGGGAAGAGAATACTGAGTGCAAAGAGATACACAGGAGTAAGATATAGTTTTACGGATGTCAATTTTTGTGAAATGCAGTTTACTCCAGAAAAAGCCTGTGAAATCAACTTTAATTGCATGTCCCTTTGACTGAGGACAAAAAACACAGATTTCTGACCAGTGGGTGTATCAGTTAATTTGTTCTTGGGAATCTGTTTGACTCGGTCAAAGAAATTTTTAAAGAGTTATACAGATTTTGATTATCATAAAAACCTGGGTTTTTGACTTGATTTTACTTACCAATCTACAATTGGATGTTATAAAACTTATTTTCAGAACCTAATTAATCGATTAATCAACTAATTATCCTATTAATTTGATCTTTACTCTTAGGTTTGAAACTGCTACAGTGAATTAATCGATTATTTCATAAAAGAATCGATTAGTTTTGTACAGAATGAAATTAATAAAATGATACCAGAATTTAAATCGATTAAAACGAAAATGAATCAATTAAATTTGATACCTTAGTGTTTTTAGTTGATATAAATTCATTTTACTCGATTAAACCAGCTAAACTTAAATCCTGAGAACATTTTAATCGATTAATTCGACATTTCAATCGATTAAAATAGTACGGTCAGATATTCTGATATCCTCTGTAAGTTATTTTAATCGATTAATACTGTTTTATATCAATTAAAACAATCAGTTTAAACAAACAGAACTTGATTTGCTGCTTTCAACTCCAAGGGATTCCCAGATTTTGCTCCTGCAAAACAAAGCTAGTATGTTTCTGGTACCCTTTATAGTTACTGGGTCCTAATCAGGTTATTTGAAATGAATTAATTTTTGGAACCCACTTCATTCTTCCTTTAGGAATAGCATACTTTTTGATTCTACAATATTTTACTAAGTGACCTTTCTTCATGCAATAAAAACATTTGATTACAGAGTATGATTTCCTTCTTACATTTGTTTTTCTAGATTTAAATCCTATTCCAGATTTATCAAAAATTAGTTTTTGAGACCCAAGTAAAACATCAAGATTGGCTTGACCTTGTGTGAATCTTGAAACGGTTTGTGATAAAAAATCAACTTTCTTTTGTAATTCTGAACAGTTATTACAGGGTTTATTACATGCACAGTCAGAATTATCATGAATTAATTTTAAGAAATCACAATCAGTTTCATCTTCAAGAATCCTTTTTTCAAGAGAGTCAACTTTATTTACCAACCAATTATTTAGTCCTTTTAGCCTATCGTTTTCTTTTTGTAGTTTCTTAGCCTCTTCATGCATTTCATTAAATGCTTCTTGCAATGAATCATAATTCACTAAATTTGAAGAGGAACTAGAACTTACATTGCTGGATTGAGGATTTTGACTTGCCATTAGACATAGGTTGGCTTCTTCATTATCAGAATTGTCTGTTGATGAAGTGTCATTGTCATCCCATGCTATATAGGCTCTCCTTTTGACTTTCTCTTCTTTCTTTTCACTATGTTTGTTCCTTTCTGGGCATTCCATCCTGACATGGTCCTGTTTACCACAGCCATAGCATTTAAAGTTAGAAGAATCAGTTTTTTTCTCATACCTTTTATGTCTTTCCTTGTCTTGGATCTTTTTCTTGAGAAACTTGTTGAATTTTCTGACAAGCAGTCCAAGATTCTCACTTTCTTCCTCTGATTCTTGATTTTCTTCAACTTTAAGTGCTATACTTCTGTTTTTCTTCTCAGAGACTTCTTGTTCATTAAATCTTGTGATTTCCATTTCATGTTCTCTAAGTTTTCCAAACAGAGAAGCTGTTGTCATGGCGGACAAATCTTTTGACTCTGAAATTGTTGTGACCTTTGGCTGCCAAGACCTGTCAAGACATTTCAAGACTTTAATATTCAATTCTTCTTTATCAAAGGTCTTACCTAGGCCCATTAGATGATTAATGATGTGAGTGAATCGCTTCTGCACATCTGCAATGCTTTCACCAGTTTGCATTTTGAACAGCTCATATTCTCTTATGAGAGTATGCTTTCTGGCTCTTTTTACATCTGTTGTCCCCTCATGGGTGACCTCAAGAACATCCCACATCTCCTTGGCAGATTTGCATTGGGATACCCTGAAAAACTCATCCATGTTAAGTGCAGAAGTAATTATATTTTTTGCAGTGCAATCACTTTGAACTTTCTTCTTTTCCTCATCATTTAAGCTGGACCATTCTTTCTCTGTAATTAAAGGACCATTAGAAATAACATCCCAAACATTTCTATTAATGGATTCAATAAAGATTTTCATCCTAATTTTCCAAAAAGGATAATCTGTTCCACAGAAGAGTGGAGGTCTGTTAATAGATGTCCCCTCAGAAAATGGTAATCTGTTTTCAGCCATGGATAAAAGAAACTTGAATAACTTTCAAGCACCTCGCTCTGATGCCAATTGTTAGAAAAGTAGTTTTAGATCAAGAGGGGGGGGTGAATTGATCTTTGAAAGTTTTTCGCAAATAAAAGATTATCTAATTCGAAAATTAAGTTTACAAATCTATTATTGAATCACAAAGCAATCAATCAAAATAAGCGCATCAACTGAATTTAAATGAGAGAAAGGTTAAGAAAGATATCACCGGTATTTTATACTGGTTCACCCAATACCAGGGCTACGTCCAGTCTCCGACCAAATTCAGGTGGGTTCCACTAGATTAAATGTTTTACGAGATATACAATCTTACACTTAATCTACCACAAGAACCAAATTCTAGTTCCCGCACTCAACCTTTCCACCAAGAACCAAATTCCAGTTCTTGATAACCTCTACAACCCAATTCCAGTACGAGAGAAACTCGTGCCCAAATTCCAGGCACCACACAATACAAAAGAATGAAAAAGAATTAAAAAAGAAGAAACTAGAAAGCTCAAACCAGTTTATCCAATTCTGCAGTGAGTTTCTTCTTCAAAAGATTGCAAGTTGCCTCAAGAAAGATTTTCAAAAGAACTTCTAAAAGCTGTCACGAATCTTTCTTGAAAAGAGTGCTAAAGTTTGCTTGAATGATTGCTTAAGGATGTGTAAAAACTGATATGTAAAAAGTTCCAAGCAACTTTGTTTTTAAAGAAGATTTTCAAAACTGCTGCATTAATTAATTTGTTAAAATATTCGTTTAATCTGTTAAAAGAGTCGTTTCAATTTGTTGAAAGTTCTTTTAATCCATTAATACGTTCTTGATTCTTTAACAGATTTGTTTTAACTGATACGACAACGTTTATATCAGTTAAAACATTTTACAAAAATTTTCTAAGTTTGATTCAATCGATTGTTTCGTGTTTTAATTGATTGATATACTGCAAAACTTTCTTGTAAAACTTTTCAAGTTATTTTAATTGATAAGAAATAGTTTTTAATCGATTAAAACTCTGTACAAAATTTTTCCAAGTTGTTTTAATCGGTTGAAATGCGTTTTAATCGATTGAAGCAGATCTGATCGGTCATAATTCAATTCGATCGATCATAAGCGATCTGATCGGTCATAATTGCATTCTAATCGATCATTCTGACCCTTTAAGTGATTTTAATCGATTTAAACGTGTTTTAATCGATTGAAAAAATTCTGATCGCTCATAATTCAAATCTGATCGATCAAATCTGATTCTGACCGGTCATATTTGTATTCTGATCGATCATAATGAGTTCTAAATGGTTTTAATCGATTAAAAGCAAGTTGTATCGATTAAAATACTGTAAAAACACTTCTTTGAACATTCTAAGCAATTTTAATCGGTTATTTCAAAGCTGTATCAGTTAAAAACATGTTTAAGAAAGCTTTTGTCAAAATACTTTATCTTTAATTGTTTAAAACGATTTTAGAGGCATTTTGCAAAATCTTTTGAGTTAAGAGAAACCTCATGCAGCAGAAAAGATAAAATGATTTTACCTAAGCATTCCTGTAGACACACTAATCCTTCTACTCTTTTATCTAAGTGACTTGTTGACTGCTGCAAAGTTGACTTTTGACTACATCTTTGACTTCATCAAATCAATGAGATCTTTGCCAATGTATTTCACTAAGATCTTCATCACTTTCATACTTAAACTCTTCTCCATTCCAAACTCCTTATCCATCCCAAACTTCTTCTCCTTCCTTAACTTCTTCTCCACCCAAACCCTCTTCTCCTTCCATAACATCTTGTCCGTCCATGACTTCTTCTCCTTCCTTGACTTCTTCTCCATCCATAATATTCATCTATCCCTCCTTAACTTCTTCCCAATCCATAATTTCTTCTTTATCCTTGACTTCTTCTCCATCCTAAACTTCTTCTTCTTCCCTAATTCTTCTCCTTCTCTAACTTCTTCTCCATCCTTAACTTCTTCTTCTCCTTCCTTAACTTCATCTACATCCCAAATTTCTTCTCCATCCTTAACTTATACTCCATGCATAACTTCTTCTCCTTCGTTAACTTCTTCTTCCTCCTTGATTTCTTCTCCATACTCTCCGTCCTTACTTTCTTCATCATCCCTAATTTCTTCTCCTTCCTTAACTTCTTCTCCATCCATAATCATTTCTCCCTCCTTAACTTCTTCTCCATCCCAAACTTCTTCCCCATCCATACTTTCTTCTTTACCCATAATTTCTTCTCCATCCAAAACTTCTTCTTCTTCCTTAACTTCTTCTCATTCCTTCACTTCTTCCCCATCCCAAACTATTTCTCCATCCTTAACTTCTTCTCCTTCCCTAACTTGTTCTTCATTCTTAACTTTTTCTCCTTCCCTAACTTCTTCTCTATCCTCCTTAACTTCTTCTGCTTCCTTAACTTCATTCTACATCCCAAGTTTCTTCTCCATCCTTCACTATAATCTCCCTTAACATCTTCTCCATCCTTCCTTAACATCTTCTCCATCCTTCCTTAACATCTTCTCCGTCCATAACTTCTTCTCCATCCTTACTTTCTTCGTCATCCCTAATTTCTTCTCCTTCCTTAACTTCCTCTCCATCCATAATCATTTCTCCCTCCTTCATTTCTTCTCCATCCCAAACTCCTTCCCCATCCATACTTTCTTCTTTACCCTTAACTTCTTCTCCATCCAAAACTTCTTCTTCTTCCTTAACTTCTTCTCCTTCCTTCACTTTTTATTCATCCCAAATTATTTCTCCATCCTTAACTTCTTCTCCTTCCCTAACTTGTTCTTCATTCTTAACTTTTTCTCCTTCCCTAACTTCTTCTCCATCCTCCTTAACTTCTTCTGCTTCCTTAACTTCATTCTACATCCCAAGTTTCTTCTCCATCCTTAACTATAATTTCCTAACCTATCCATCCAAAAGTTCTTCTCCTTCCTTAACTTCTTCTTCCTTAATTTCTTCTCCCTACTTAGTAGATTCCTCTCCATTCCAAACTTCTTCTCCATCCCAAACTTCTTCCCCATTCATACGTTCTTCTTCATCCTTAACTTCTTCTCCATCCAAAACTTCTTCTTCCTTAACTTCTTCTCCTTCCTAAACTTCTTCTCCATCCCAAACTTCTTCCCCATTCATACGTTCTTCTTTATCCTTAACTTCTTCTCCATCCAAAACTTCTTCTTCCTTAACTTCTTCTCCTTCCTAAACTTCTTCTTCCTTATTTTCTTCTCCATACTTCGATTCTTCTCCTCTATTCCAAACATCTCCTCCATCCCAAACTTCTTCTCCATCCTTAACTTCTTCTCCATCCCAAACTTCTTCTCTTTCCCTAACTTCTTCTCCTTCCTTAATTTCTTCTCCTTCCTTAACATCTTCTCCGTCCATAACTTCTTCTCCGTCCTTACTTTCTTCCTCATCCCTAATTTCTTCTCCTTCATTGACTTCTTCTCCATCCATAATCATTTCTCCCTCCTTAACTTCTTCTCCATCCCAAACTTCTTCGTCATCGATACTTTCTTCTGTACCCTTAACATCTTCTCCGTCCATAACTTCTTCTTCTTCTTCTTTAACTTCTTCTTCCTCCTTGATTTCTTCTCCATACTTAAACTCTTCTCCATTCCAAACTTCTTCCCCATCCCAAACTTCTTCTCCGTCCTTAACTTCTTCCCTTCTTTAACTTCCTCTCTTTCCCTAACTTTTTCTCCTTCCTTAACTTCTTCTCCACCCAAACCATCTTCTCCTTCCATAACATCTTGTCCGTCCATGACTTCTTCTCCTTCCTTGACTTCTTCTTCATCCATAATAATCATCTCTCCCTCCTTAACTTCTTCCCCATCCATAATTTCTTCTTCATCCTTGACTTCTTCTCCATCCAAAACTTCTTCTTCTTCCCTAACTTCTTCTCCATCCTTCACTTCTTCCCCATCCCAAACTAATTCCCCATCCTTAATTTCTTCTCTTTCCTTAACTTCTTCTTCTTCTTCCTTAACTTCTTCATCTAAATCCCAAATTTCTTCTCCATTCTTAACTTATACTCCATCCATAACTTCTTCTCCTTCCTTAACTTCTTCTTCCTCCTTGATTTCTTCTCCATACTTAAATTCTTCTCCATTCCAAACTTCTTCTCCATCCTTAACTTCTTCACCTTCTTTAACTTCCTCTCTTTCACTAAGTTCTTCTCCTTCCTTAACTTCTTCTGCATCCAAACCATCTTCTCCTTCCCTAACTTCTTCTCCGCCCGTGACTTCTTCTCCTTCCTTGATTTCTTCTCCATCCATAATAATCATCTCTCCCTCCTTAACTTCTTCCACATCCATAATTTCTTCTTTATTCTTGACTTTTTCTCCATCCAAAGCTTCTTCTTCTTCCTTAACTTCTTCTCCTTCCTTCACTTCTTCCCCATCCCAAACTATTTCCCAATCCTTATCTTCTTCTCCTTCCCTAACTTTTTCTCCATCGTTAACTTCTTCTTCTCCTTCCTTAACTTCATATACATCCCAAATTTCTTCTACATCCTTAACTTAACTCCATCCAAAACTTCTTCTCCTTCCTTATCCATCCCAAACTTCTTTTCCTTCTTTAACTTCCTGTCTTTCCCTAACTTCTTCTCCTTCCTTAACTTCATCTCCACCCAAACCATCTTCTCCTTCCATAACATCTTCTCCGTCCATGACTTCTTCTCCTTCCTTGACTTCTTCTCCATCCATAATATTCATCTCTCCCTCCTTAACTTCTTCCCAATCCATAATTTCTTCTTTATCCTTGACTTCTTCTCCATCCAAAACTTCTTCTTCTTCCCTAATTCTTCTCCTTCTCTAACTTCTTCTCCATCCTTAACTTCTTCTTCTCCTTCCTTAACTTCATCTACATCCCAAATTTCTTCTCCATCCTTAACTTATACTCCATCCATAACTTCTCCTCCTTCGTTAACTTCTTCTTCCTCCTTGATTTCTTCTCCATACTCTCCATCCTTACTTTCTTCATTATCCCTAATTTCTTCTCCTTCCTTAACTTCTTCTCCATCCATAATCATTTCTCCCTCCTTAACTTCTTCTCCATCCCAAACTTCTTCCCCATCCATACTTTCTTCTTTACCCATAATTTCTTCTCCATCCAAAACTTCTTCTTCTTCCTTAACTTCTTCTCATTCCTTCACTTCTTCCCCATCCCAAACTATTTCTCCATCCTTAACTTCTTCTCCTTCCCTAACTTATTCTTCATTCTTAACTTTTTCTCCTTCTCTAACTTCTTCTTTATCCTCCTTAACTTCGTTCTACATCCCAAGTTTCTTCTCCATCCTTCACTATAATCTCCCTTAACATCTTCTCCATCCTTCCTTAACATCTTCTCCGTCCATAACTTCTTCTCCATCCTTACTTTCTTTGTCATCCCTAATTTCTTCTCCTTCCTTAACTTCCTCTCCATCCATAATCATTTCTCCCTCCTTCATTTCTTCTCCATCCCAAACTCCTTCCCCATCCATACTTTCTTCTTTACCTTTAACTTCTTCTCCATCCAAAACTTCTTCTCCTTCCCTAACTTGTTCTTCATTCTTAACTTTTTCTCCTTCCCTAACTTCTTCTCCATCCTCCTTAACTTCTTCTGCTTCCTTAACTTCATTCTACATCCCAAGTTTCTTCTCCATCCTTAACTATAATCTCCTAACCTATCCATCCAAAAGTTCTTCTCCTTCCTTAACTTCTTCTTCCTTAATTTCTTCTCCCTACTTAGTAGATTCTTCTCCATTCCAAACTTCTTCTCCATCCCAAACTTCTTCCCCATTCATACGTTCTTCTTTATCCTTAACTTCTTCTCCATCCAAAACTTCTTCTTCCTTAACTTCTTCTCCTTCCTAAACTTCTTCTTCCTTATTTTCTTCTCCATACTTCGATTCTTCTCCTCCATTCCAAACTTCTCCTCCATCCCAAACTTCTTCTCCATCCTTAACTTCTTCTTCCATCCCAAACTTCTTCTCTTTCCCTAACTTCTTCTCCTTCCTTAATTTCTTCTCCTTCCTTAACATCTTCTCCGTCCATAACTTCTTCTTCGTCCTTACTTTCTTCCTCATCCCTAATTTCTTCTCCTTCATTGACTTCTTCTCCATCCATAATCATTTCTCCCTCCTTAACTTCTTCTCCATCCCAAACTTCTTCCTCATCCACACTTTCTTCTGTATCCTTAACATCTTCTCCATCCATAACTTCTTCTTCTTCTTCTTCTTTAACTTCTTCTTCCTCCTTGATTTCTTCTCCATCTCAAATTTCTTCTCTGTCCTTGACTTCTTCTTCATCCATAATAATCATCTCTCCCTCCTTAACTTCCTCCCAATCCATAATTTCTTCTTTATCCTTGACTTCTTCTTCTTCCCTAACTTCTTCTCCTTCCTTCACTTCTTCCCCATCCTTAACTTCTTCTTCTTCCTCAACTTCTTCTCCATCCTTAACTTCTTCTTCTCCTTCCTTAACTTCATCTACATCCCAAATTTCTTATCCATTCTAACTTATACTCCATCCATAACTTCTTCTCCTTCCTTAACTTCTTCTTCCTCCTCAATTTCTTCTCCATACTTTCCATCCTTACTTTCTTCATCATCCCTAATTTCTTCTCCTTCCTTAAGTTCTTCTCCATCCATAATCATTTCTCCCTCCTTAACTTCTTCTCCATCCCAAACTTCTTCCCCATCCATACTTTCTTCTTTACCCTTATTTTCTTCTCCATCCAAAACTTCTTCTTCTTCCTTAACTTCTTCTCATTCCTTAATTTCTTCTCCTTCCTTAACATCTTCTCCGTCCATAACTTCTTCTCCATCCTTACTTTCTTCCTCATCCTTAACTATAATCTCCTATCCTGTCCATCCAAAAGTTCTTCTACTTCCTTAACTTCTTCTTCCTTAATTTCTTCTCCATTCCAAACTTCTTCTCCATCCCAAACTTCTTCCCCATCCATACTTTCTTCTTTATCCTTAACTTCTTCTCCATCCAAAACTTCTTCTTCCTTAACTTCTTCTCCTTCCTAAACTACTTCTTCCTTAATTTCTTTACCTTACTTCAATTCTTCTCCTCCATTCCAAACTTCTCCTCCATTCCAAACTTCTCCTCCATCTCAAACTTCTTCTTCATCCTTAACTTCTTCTCCATCCCAAACTTCTTCTCTTTCCCTAACTTCTTCTCCTTCCTTAATTTCTTCTCCTTCCTTAACATCTTCTCCGTCCATAACTTCTTCTCCATCCTTACTTTCTTCGTCATCCCTAATTTCTTCTCCTTCCTTAACTTTTTCTCCATCCATAATCATTTCTCCCTCCTTAACTTCTTCTCCATCCCAAACTCCTTCCCCATCCATACTTTCTTCTTTACCCTTAACTTCTTCTCCATCCAAAACTTCTTCTTCTTCCTTAACTTCTTCTCCTTCCATCACTTCTTCCCCATCCTAAACAATTTCTCCATCCTTAACTTCTTCTCCTTCCGTAACTTGTTCTTCATTCTTAACTTTTTCTCCTTCCCTAACTTCTTCTCCATCCTCCTTAACTTCTTTTGCTTCCTTAACTTCATTCTACATCCCAACTTTCTTCTCCATCCTTAACTATAATCTCCTATCCTTTCCATCCAAAAGTTCTTCTCCTTCCTTAACTTCTTCTCCTTCCATAATTATTTCTCCATCCTTAACTTCTTCTTGAAGCACTTGTTGGATTTGATGAAGACATATTAAGTTGATATAGTTTAGTTTGTGGGTGTGTAGTTGAATAAGGTTAGGAGTTTTGGACTTAATCTGTTGATAGACAAATAGATCATGTGATAAGCACCTTAAAATGATGCATCTCAGTAAAATTATTTTTCTGCATGAAAAACTAACATTTAAGCATTAAAAGAACAAACTAAGTTTTTCAATCTGTTGAAAAGAAATTTCAATCTGTTAAAATCACTTAACATAAGAAATGTTCTTATAGATTCGAAATTTCAATTGGTTGAATCGCAGAATCAACAGGTTAAAATGTTCTTAATGAATTTTTAAAATATCAAAGGTTTCACATTTTTAATCTGTTAAAATATTTTTCAATATGTTGAAACAGAGAGACTATTTTTCTGTCTAAGTGTTTTTAGAATTTGAATCTGTTGAAATGTTTTTCAATCTGTTGAAACAGAGAGACTATTTTTTCAGTCTAAGTGTTTTCAGGATTTCAATCTGTTGAAATGTTTTTTAATTGATTGAAACAGAGAGCTGTCATTTTTCATTAAGTTATTTCAATCCATTGAAAACACGAATCAATCGATTGAATGAAGGTTTAAATAAATTCAATCGATTAAAACGTCGTTTTAATCGATTGAAATGCATTCTGATCGATCATAATTTGATTCTGATCGATCATAACTTGTTCTGATCGATCATAATACTGTTCTAATCGATCATAATCGATTCTGACCTGTTATATTTTCATTCTGATCGATCAGTTGCATCTCTGAATGAGCTTTTATCAGATTAAACGTTCTACACTACTATAAATAAGGCCTTCAACGTCGGTTCTGGAAGGCCTTCAACGTCGGTTCCAGAACCGACGTTGTATCAGGCGACGTTGAAAGTTAAGACTTTCAACGTCGGTTCTATTTAACCGACGTGGAAAGTTATCGGACTTTCAACGTCGGTAAAATAGAACCAGACGTTGAAAGTCTTATTTTTCAAATCAAATTTTTTTATTTATTTCCAACCCCTCTATTTATCTAGAAATCCCCCCTCTCTTTTATATTATATTTTTATTAGGTCCCTCTCTCATTTATATTATATTTTTATTATTTATCATATTTTTTTAAAGTTTAAAGCATTACCAAATTATTTTTTTGTCAGCGACAGATTCGAACCCGAGTACCTTAGTGTTGGAGGTCGATACTCCAACCACTAAACTACTCGAATTTTTTTATAGTAACTTACAAATAAATTATATTTATATACAAATAAATATATATCAGTATAAATATATAAATACAAATATATTTATATATTTTGATATATTTAAATAATTATATATTTATATATTGGATGTGAGGGCACGCTCGAAGGTGAAAGTGTGTGTCGAGTGGGTTTTCAAAATTTGATGCCAAATTTGTGAGCGAGTCTCTTTATATGGGTTTGTAATTTAATGACAGAATATAATATGTATAATTTATTTATATAATGATATAAAATAAATTTGGGAAACGCATCATTCGCTCAAGTGACACATTCGCTCAGCGAAAAATACCAATTTTCGCTCAAGCTAGGCTTGAGCGAGTGAATTTCGTGAGCTTTAACGTATTTTCACTTAAGCGAGAGTCAATCTCACTTTCACCCTCGATCGCGCCCTCACATCCAACATAAAAATATATAAATATATCAAAATATATAAATATATTTGTATTTATATATTCTATATTTATATATTTACACGGATATATATTTATTTGTATATAAATATAATTTATTTGTAAATTATTATCAAAAAATTATAGTAGTTTAGTGGTTGGAGTATCAATTTTCAACTCTAAAATACTATATTCGAATCCTATCGGTGACAATTCTTTAACTTAAGTGAATTTTTACTTGAAAAAAATAAAAACACTTTCTAGAAAATATATATAAATAAATATATATTTACACGGATATTTATTTGTATATAAATATAATTTATTTGTAAGTTATTATCAGAAAATTACAGTAGTTTAGTGGTTGGAGTGTTAGCTTTCAATTCAAAAATACTGGGTTCGAATCCTGTCGATGACAATTCTCTAACTTAAGTGAATTTTTGAGCTGAAAAAAAATAAAATCACTTTCCGGAAAATATAAATAAATATATATTTACAAGAATATATATTTATTTGTATATAAATATAATTAATTTGTAAGTTATTATTAGAAAATTACGAGTAGTTTAGTGGTTGAAATATCAACTTTCAACTCTAAAGTACTTGGGTTCGAACTCTAGTCGATTGACAATTCTCTAACTTAAAATTTTTTTAGTGAAGACACATTCAACGTCGGTTTATCGAGGACCGAGCGTTGAATGTGTCAATAAAATGACATTCAATGTCGGTTCATCTGGAACCGAGCGTTGAAAGTGTCCATACAAAGACTTTCAACGTCGGTTCATCTAGAACCAACGTTGAATGTACTTTCTACGTTGGTTGACTTGGACCGAGCGTTGAAAGTGTCCAACATTCAACTTTCAACGTCATTTTTAACCAACCGACGTTGAAAGTGTATTT